ATAAATAAAACATTAAAAGAAAAAAAGGATCAAACCTGTTGCTGTGCTAGGAGACCAGAGAGTACCCAGGGCAGAAACAGGGAGAGCAGTTTGGAAACAGTTGCCATCCTCCAGATGAGAGACATGGCGGCCATGATCAAGGTAGTAAGGACGGAGATGCAGAGAAGAGACTAGATTGCGGATCTGGAAGACGGAGCTGATGGGAATTGGTAATCATCTACATATGGGCTGTAAAAGAATTAGAGGAGTCCAGAATGACGTCAAAGTTTCAGTCCGAAGAACCTGAGGGTGGTGCTAATGTTTATGGAAATAAGGTCTGTGGGAGGTACTGGGTGGGGGTGGGGAAGAAGGGAGGGGAAGAGAGAATTTTCCCACCAAGTGTTCAAGCTCTGTTCTTGATTGGTAAAGTCAGCCTTGCATAAGAGATGAGCCATATGATCCCCCTGTCCCACTACTGGGTATATACGCACAAGAATTAAAAGCAGGTACTCGTGCAGCTGCGTGAACACCACCCATGTTCGGAGCAGCCTCACTCACAATAGCCAAAATGTGGAAACAACCCAAATGTCCATCAGCAGATGAGTGGATTAACAAAATTTGGCATGCATATCGAATGGAGTCTGATTCAGCCTGCTACGGCACACACGAACCTTGCAGACCTCATGCTCGGTGAAATTAAGTCAGACCCAAAAGGACAAATCTTGTATGGTTCCGCTGATATGAGGGACCTCAAGTAGTTAAATCCATAGAGGCAGAAAATGAAATGGGGGTTGCCAGGGACTGGAGGGAGGAGAGAAGGGGAAGTTAGTGTTTAATGGGGACAGAGTTTCTGTTGGGGAAGATGAAGATGTTCTGGAGGTAGAGGGTGAAGATGTTCTGGAGGTAGAAGGTAGGGACGGCTGCACACCAGTGTGGGTGTACTTAATGCCACCCAACTGTATACCTGAAACCGTTAAAATGGAAAGCTCTACATTATGTATATCTTATGATTTTTAAAAAGATAGATGGTGATCTCAAAGGTTAGTCCACTGGCAAGGGCAAAGCCTCCATGCAAAGCCCTTACCAGTGGACTAACCTTTGAGATCACCATCTGTCTTATAGAGACGTACAAAATCAAATGCAAATGAAAAATGATCCTAAAGTTGTCCCATGGTTAGCTGTGGGCACAGGACTATTCACGTCCATTCCACCAAGTGGCTGCAAAATAGGGAGATGGAGAGCGTCGCAGGAGGGGCGGGGGCCAAACAGGAGCCTGTCCCAGGCAGAAACAGTGTGAAGGAGGACAGGACCGGGGCGCCTGGGAGGCTCAGTCGATTAAGCGTCCAACTCTTGATTCTGGCTCAGGTCGTGATCTCAGGGTCACGAGATCGAGCCTCGCATCGGGCTCCTCGCTGAGCATGGAGCCTGCTTGGACTTCTCTCTCTCTCCCCCCCCCCCCGCCACCTCTTCCTCTGCCCCTCCCCCGCTCTCCGCGCACGCTCGCTCTCTCTCTCTCTCTCTCTCTCTCTCTGAAATAAATAAAATCTTAAAAAAGAAAAAAAAGAAAGAGCACAGGACTGGAATAAGAGGCTCAGAGAAGCAAAGTGAGCAAAGAAGACTGAAACAGCAGGAACAGGCACGATGTGGCGTGCAATGGGGGAGACCTGAGGACATTTTGGTGACCAAGAGCAAGCACCCATGGTGAGTGGCCACACCGGAAACAGCTCACACTGAGCACTTCCTGTGTGTCTAAGCAGCCTACAGGGACTAACTGACTCAATCCTCACAGCCACCGACCATGTAAGGGATGTCCCCCCGCCCCTGCCCCCGCATCATCCCCGGTTCACAAATGAGGACACTGGAAACCTCCCAAGGTCAGAGAGGCAGAAACAGGATTCGACCTCAGGCAGGGCAGCCCCGGAGCAGGGCTCTCACCCTCTCGGCTACACAGCTCCCAGCGGCTGGCAGTGTGACCCACAGTCCCGTGGTCAACTTCCCCGGATTCCACCCTTCCAAACCCCCTTGAGCATTTAGGACACCGTGTGACCAGGTCGATGTCTTGATTCGAGAGTCCCGCTGGTCCAAACCTCACAGTCTTATCTCAAAGTGCAGCGATGGTTCTCCGATCAAACCTCCCCATCTGGTTATTTACCGGGATGACTCTCTAGGACATCAGCTGACCGCCGTGCTACCATGAGAAATGCGAGTTGTGTGCTGTTCAAACGTGTCTCTAACAATCAAGGGAAATGGCAGAATCCTTCTGAGAAATTGATTTAGAGATAGCTGGAGGCTCGTGGCAGGGGCAGGAAAGGTTCATTTCTGGCGTCCCGGGGAGGTCATGTTGACACGAAACTCAGCCTCAAAGTCCATGCAAGTGTGGACCATGGAAGCTGGTTTCCGAGGAAGCATCAGGGTCAGGGGAAAGCCTACGACACGGTCTGTCGATGAGTCTCCAACAAGGATGACTGTAATCACTCACCTCTAGTTTGAACCAAGGCACATGAAACCACAGCAAGTTCCTCTCAGCTGCACAGATTTTATCTGAATCCCTATGCTCAGCAGCTTTAATTCTGCCTCCTTCAGGGCTCGCTCTCAGTAAATGCTCATTGACTAAAGAGATATTATGCATCAGAGCATAACAGGCCGTTTGAGGAAGGGGGTCAAATCCCACACACCTTTCAATCTCAAGACACTTAAATAAAGGCCAATGAAGTACATTGTGCAGCAAGACGTGTTGCGCTGGGAAGGCAAGCACTGCGACAAGCTAGAAGCCGCTCCCAGAAGGGCAAGAGAAGACTATCCAGCCATGTGTGAGCACTAGGAAGCCAGCCAGAAGCTCTTGCCATCATCTGTTTTATGTGCCTGACACAGTGTTCCCGGAACCCTCCCAGTCTCCACTGGACGTGAAGTCTAGTGGAAGCCCAGTCCTATGGGAGCTGACACAGGGATGCCCGGGCACGCCAGGACAGCACAGAAAAGGGACACTGAGCCCAGACTTGGAGGCTCAGGTGGGCCTGGGGGTGCTGATTCAAATGCTCAGAAAAACTGGGAGCAGGGCACCTGGGTGGCTCAGCCGGTTAAGCAGTTAAGTGTCTGCCTTCGGCTCAGGTCATGACGTCAGGGTCCTGGGATCGAGCCTGCGATCTGTCCATCTGTTGATAGATCAAGATCGTGACTGGGCTCCCTGCTCAGCGGGGAGTCTGCTTCCCTCTCCTTCTGCCCCTTCCCCCGTTTTTGGTTTTGCTGTCTCTAAATAAATAAATAAATAAACAAACAAACAAACAAAATCTTGAAAGAAAGAAAGAAGGAAGGAAGAAAAGAAGGAAGGAAGGAAGAAAACCAGGGAGAAGAAGGCACGTGGAAGAGCACTGTGAATACACAGCTCCAGGGGCCGACATCAGGACGCTGGGAGGGAAAGGTGCACACAGGAAGCTGTGGGGGCTGAAATGGCAGGCGGGTCATGGCGGCCTCCTGTGCTGAGCCAAGGATGTGAACCGCACCCTGAAAGCCAAGACGAGCCACGGCAGAATGTGAAGCAGGGGAGCACACTGATTTGATTTTTATTTTAGACTGGCCTCTAAAGCTCCCTCCACCTGCGGAGGGAAAGATCTATGATGGGCAGACCCGTGAGGAGGTGATTGCAGTCAGGAATGAAAATCAAAGATGTCAGGCCTGGAGCTCGGAAAAGCAGGCTGAAATCAGCAGTCCCCTAGAGGTGACCCCGAGAGAGCCTAGTGTCAGAAAAATAAAGACCCCAGGACAGGTCCATGGGAAATTCTGCCATTTGTGAACTTTTGGGGAGAGAAGAGCCCATGAAGGGTCTGGGAAGGGAGGGGAAAGCCACCCTAACCATACAGACATCAAGATAAGTGATGTCACTCAGCAGAGGGCTGAGAGGGCTTCCAGGAGGGCGCACAGCACCAAGCACCCAGAGACTGGGCTGGGCAGAGTAAGGATTAGCAAGAACAGCTTTGGGGGGGCGGGTGGGGAGCCCAGGGGCAATGGGTGGGGCACCAGGGTGAGTGGGAGGCGAGGAAGAAGCACCCTTTCTAGCAGGTTGGCCCCTCAGGGACAACCCCATAGATAACCAGAGGGAGAGGGGTTGAGGGAGGGTTTCTTTAAACAGGGGAGGGGTGCACAGATGTATTAGTTGGGAGGAGATGCCAAGGTAGAGGTAGGGTGCTGGGGAGAGAAGGGGTGAGTGAAGGGGACGCACAGAACCCCTGGAGGGATCCCACGTGGTGCTGGGGTGGGGGAGGAGGGTTCCTGGGACAAAGGAGGGGGCGAGGTGAGGGGAGCTGATGAGTTCCGATTCCCCAGTGACAGGGCTGTCACTCTGCTCCAGCTGACGGGCTCCACAAAGATTTTCCACATTTCAGGAAAGGCCATACATTCCCTATTTTCTGTGAAATCTGAGTTTTAAATGTGTACAGCTACCCCCAAAAAACAGTTTAATTGTTATGCAGGCCCAAATCATGGCTATGGCCTGGACTGAGCCAACAGCCCCCCACTTAGTGCCCTATGATCCAGAACTTTCACTCTCCAGTTACTTCCTCTCTCTTGCCCTTCACACGGGTGTCTCTCCTCAGGGAGGCCTCAGAAAGCATTTCCTTTATAGGATCAAAAATACTTTTCCTTAAACCCTGGTTGATCTTCAACGAGATGTGGATACTAACCCTTTAATCCTAAATCTCTGGCCTCCGCGCCGCCCTGAACTCTGAATTTAATAGACACTGTCCTAGAAGTCATTTACACCAACCACGTAAATGGTCCACAGTAGCCCTCTGTACAAAAAAAAGCCTTGAGAATTCTTCTGTAGCAAATGCGTTCTCTGCAGGCTTTTCAAAAAAAAAAAAAAAAAGCTGAAGGGGAAGAAAGACTTGAATTTCTAGGCCCTGGAGAGGGAGGGACTTCTGCACCCGGGAAGGCCTGGTCCCATGCGGACGCTCCTGTCGCCCGATCTCCAGATGGAAAGGGTCACTACCAAGACCGTTCTTTTAGTCACCACCACCTTCTCTCACCTGCCTTTGGGGTGGACACTGAAACTGCCCCGGCTCGGCTGCTGGTTTCCTTGGGTTGATTCTGGTCTTTGCACTCCAGTGCTGGTGGGTGTGTTGTGTTCTAACAAGGACAAGGATTATTACAGGGTCACTCTTCAAGTCGTCCACAAATTTTCACAAATTCTAATAGATTAATCAGGTGTGAATTATTTTAGAGAAAAAAATCTTGCCTTTTCCAGAAAGGGCTTGGTTGAGTAACTGAGCATTCAGTGATTCTCTCTTCTATTTCAGTTTGTTCAGTTTTCAATTATAAAATGAGACTCAGAATACATCCAAATAACCACAGAAGAAAGGAATGTTTTTTTTTCTTTCAGAAAGAACTGAATAATAATAGCAAACACATCAGCACTTACCATGTGCCAACCACTATTTTATCTTGTATGTTAACTCCTTATGGTAACTCAGGAGACAGGAGCTGCACTTACTTTGTTTTACACAAGAGAAAACTGAGGCCCAGAGAGTTTGAGTAACTTGCCCAAGATTACAAAGTTAGGATGTGGCAGAGCTAGGATCTGAAACCAAGCCCTCTCTAAACCATTAAACCATCCACTCAGGTCCAACAGCATATATTAGAGGATATGAAAGGGAAAAAAGTCCAAGCCAAAGTTACTAGAATTACCCCAAATAAGAAGTCGTCCTGAAAAAAGTATGGTTCTTAGCTACGTATATATATATATATAGCATCACAGTGTCCTGTTGGTATAACTTGTGGCCAAAACTTGAGAGCTTTAGAAATAAAAGAGTAGGGGCACCTGGGTGGCTCAGTCGGTTAAGTGTCAGACTCTTGGTTTCTGCTCAGGTCATGATCTCAGGGTCATGAGATCGAGCCCCACGTCGGACACTTGAGAGATTCTCTCTCTCTCTCTCCCTCTCCCTGTGTCCCCCCACCCCAGTTTGTGCTCTGTCTCTCAAATAAATAAATAAAATCTTTTAAAAAGGAGAGAGAGAGAAATAACAGAGTAATATTACTAAAACTAACAAAACAAAGATTCTGTACTAGCTGGACTGGATAAAGGGGTAGGAAGGGAATCCAGTTCCAATTCGCTTTAGAAAATGAAACAATCACACTTTCAAGCAAATGGCTTTCTGATACAAATACAAAATTAATCTGAAGCCATCAGAACAAGTCACAAGCCCTACCTCAACCGTAGTAGGAAGCCATTATTCAATGCAGCCATACCAGAGGCACGAGAGATTAATATTAAGTCACGACATGACTCTAAGCTAGATGTTCTCAGTGACAAAGAACCAGGCCTAGAGAAAACTTGCGGGGGGGGGGGGGGGGGGCGGAATCTTTCACAACCGCCGTTTTGGTTTTATCCTGAATACAGAGGCTGAGAGAGATAAGTGGAAGAAATGCATGGCATCAAGGTGGGAGTAGGGGAGGGAAACAGCCATGAAATTAAACAGGGTATGATCCTAAAGGCTCTTAAAGCTTTTCCTTTTAAAATGTACCTCTCGGGGCACCTGGATGGCTCAGTCGTTAAGCGTCTGCCTTCGGCTCAGGTCATGATCCCAGGGTCCTGCGATCGAGCCCCGCATCGGGCTCCCTGCTCTGCGGGAAGCCTGCTTCTCCCTCTCCCTCTCCCCCTACTTGTGTTCCCTCTCTCGCTGTCTCTCTCTCTGTGTCAAAGAAATAAATAAAAATAAATAAATAAATAAATAAATAAATAAATAAAATCTTTAAAAAAAATGTACCTCTCACTGTGGAAAACATTGTCCTAGGTGGTGTGTGAGCTTGGAAAAGATAAAGGCGGGATCCAGCCCGTGACATAGCTTCTATTGTGCCCCAAGATGGGCCTCATGATAACCTCAAAGCCAAGCAAAGGACCAAACCCATAACTTCGGCTGACATGTTCTGAGCTGATCAAAGGAGAAATCCAGAGGCTGGGTTGCGGAAAATGCACTGCTGCTTGAGATTGGACAACTTGGCATCATCATTCCAGAACACAGCCACTGTGGGGGCAGGAAAGGACACGGAGGAAGGGCAGGCTACAGGCGTGGAGGTCATTCCCTGCATACTGCAAGACCCCACAGTCCTGTTTCACATCTAAAGGTCGTGGTGAAATATATGGAGAAAACAGATTTGTGACTGTTCCTGATTATTACTCAGTCCATGCAAAATAATTACTAAGTACAGAACACATAGCCATTAAATGGTATTATCACTATACATGGGGTTATGTTACTAATGTGAATCACTCACAACTTCCTGGCCAAGTAGATTGAGCTGAACATTTTTATTCTAACAATGAGATCATGGTTTTTGGCCAACAGATTGGTAAAAAGTAAAAGAGATCTCTAAAAGCCAACAAGGGTATGGACAAAGCCAGGGTTTTCACACCCAGAAGTGGGAATGTATGCGGATACAGCGTTTTGGGAGGGCGATTTAGAGTAGCTTTAAAATTTTAAATGCATGTGCTCCTTCTGCCAGCAATTCCATCTCTAATAATTCAGGTGAAATATGTGTGTGTGCCCTCCAAGTGCTGTGTGCAAGGATGTTTGCAGACACTTGAAATAACCTAAAGTTCCGTCTAGAGGAATCATTAAACATCGAATGCTTCATCTATGCTGTGCCACAGTCCACAACAGTGAAGAAGAATGAACATTGATTGACCTACACAGAACATCTCCAAAACATAATTATTAAAGCGGGGGGGAGCAAATTGCAAAACAAGACAGTGCAATCTTATTTATGGTTTCTTTTAATTTTTTTTAAAGATTTTATTTTTAAGTAATCTCTCTCTCTCTTTTTAAGATTTTATTTATTTATTTGACAGAGAGAGACACAGCGAGAGAGGAAACACAAGCAGGAGGAGTGGGAGAGGGAGAAGCAGGCTTCCCGCTGAGCAGAGAGCCCGATGTGGGGCTCGATCCCAGGACCCTGGGATCCATGACCTGAGCTGAGGGCGGACGCTTAACAACTGAGCCACCCAGGCACACGTTTAAGTAATCTCTACACCCAACATGGGGCTCGAACTTACAACCCAGAGATCAAGAGTCGCAGAGTTGCACGCTCTACCGACTGAGCCAGCCGGGCGCCCCATTTATGGTTTCTTTTAACTCACCAAACTACAGACATCTGTGTTAACATACAGATGTGCCCAAATGCACAGAGCAAAGTCTGTGGGGTGCATGCCGAGAGGATGTCAGTGGTTAGCACTCAAGATGAGCATGCAACTGGGTTTTGAGGATGAGGAGGACTTCTCTTATTGTTTCAATGTTTTCCAAAACTGAATTGTTATGTGGTGTAATTAAAAATTAACCTTTGAGGGGGAAGATGGGCACAATAGAGAAAAAATTAAATCTTTGCCAATGTTAGTCCTAATAATACCCAATTGCGTGTTCATCGGGGTGGAAAGTATTTTACCAGCTGTGGTATTTCACCAGCTGAGGAGGTCTGTTCAGCAAATACTTAGTGAGCCCTACTGTAGGCCAGGCACTGTTTGCAACTCTGGAGAAATAGTAAAAAGATCTGCCTCGGGGCGCCTGGGTGGCTCAGTCATTGAGCGTTGTACGTTGAGCGTTGAGCGTCTGCCTTCCGCTCAGGTCATGATCCCAGGGTCCTGGGATCGAGCCCCGCATCGGGCTCCCTGCCCAGCAAAAAGCCTGCTTCTCCCTCTCCCACTCGCCTTGCTTGTGTTCCTACTCTCGCTAACTCTCTGTGTCAAATAAATAAATAAAAATCTTAAAAAAAAAAAAAGATCTGCCTCAATGGAGTTTATAGTCCAGTGGAGTTTATGGCATATCTGCTTTGAGGGGAGGGCGGTGTCTCTGGGAGAGAAGCATGGGCTGGTACAACGTGCCCAGGGCAGGGGCAAGGCAGAGATAGGCTCTAGTCCTCTTTCTAGGCCAGGGCAAGAGATGAGGTGAGCCCCATAGCACCTGGCTGGCCCCTCACTAAACACCCTCCATGTCTGCTCCAATCAGTTGCACAAGTTGGGGTGTCTGTAGTCAGCTGTGAGGCCACTCCCCAGCAGAACAAGGAATCGCGGAGAGGAGGTGACTAGAGAGAGGCCTACCATCTAGAAAGTGCAGCTCAACTTACTGCATGGGTCACTTGGCAATATTCACAAATATCAAATCATCATGGGGCAACCCTAAACTACTACAAGGTTCTACGTCAAGTATCTCTCAATAAAACGAGAAAGAGAAAAAGTGGAACTGAGCTTGTGGTTTATCCAAGAGATTTATAATAGAATTCAAGGTGATAGAGGAGAACACAGGCAGCAACCTCTTCGACCTCAACCGCAGCAACTTCTTCCTAGAAACATCACCAAAGGCAAGGGAAGCAAGGGCAAAAATGAACTATTGGGACTTCATCATGATAAGAAGCTTTTGCACAGCAAAGGAAAGTCAACAAAACCAAAAGACAATGGACAGAATGGGAGAAGATATTTGCAAATGACCTATCAGATAAAGGGCTAGTATCCAAAATCTATAAAGAACTTATCAAACTCAACACCCAAAGAACAAATAATCCAATCAAGAAGCGGGCAGAAGACATGAACAGACATTTTTCCAAAGAAGACATCCAAATGGCCAACAGACACATGAAAAAGCGCTCAAAATCACTCGGCATCAGGGAAATCCAAATCAAAACCTCAATGAGATACCACCTCACACCAGTCAGAATGGCTAAAATGAACAAGTCAGGAAACAATAGATGTTGGCAGGGATGCAGCAAAATGGGAACTCTCCTACATTGTTGGTGGGAATGCAAGCTGGTGCGGCCACTCTGGAAGGCAGTATGGTTTTTTGAGGTTCCTCAAAAAGTTGAAAATAGAGCTACCTCACGACCCAGCAATTGCACTACTGGGTATTTACCCCAAAGATACAAATGTACTGATCCGATGGGTACGTGCAGCCCAATGTTTATAGCAGTAAGGTCCACAATAGCCAAACTATGGAAAAAGCCAAGATGTCCATCGACAGACGAATGGATAAAGAAGATGTGGTACACACACACACACACACACACACACACACACACACACACACACACAATGGAATATTATGCAGCCATCAAAAAAACAAAATCTTGCCATTTGCAATGACGTGGATGGAACTGGAGGGTATTATGCTAAGCGAAATAAGCCAATCAGAGAAAGACATTGTATCATATGACCTCACTGATATGAGGAATTCTTACTCTCAGGAAACAAACTGAGGGTTGCTGGAGTGGTGGTGGGTGGGAGGGATGGGGTGGCTGGGTGATAGACACTGGGGAGGGTATGTGCTATGGTGAGCGCTGTGAACTGTGTAAGACTGATGAATGACAGACCTGTACCTCTGAAACGAATAATACATTACATGTTAAAAAAGAAGAAGAAGAAGAAGAAGAAGAAGAAGAAGAAGAAGAAGAAGAAGAAG